TGTATAGAATGTGGACAGCCTAGAAACTCGCGAATTGTTGGAGGTCAGGATGCCACCCCAGGAAAATGGCCCTGGCAAGTCAGCATTGTCCGGAATGGGCGACATTATTGTGGAGCCTCAATTATAAGTGAACAATGGATACTATCAGCAGCTCATTGCTTCTATAAGTAAGTATCAGATATTGTGTGTGTTGCTAGGAATCTTCAAGAAAGCTCCTGCTAAATTGCTAAACTGAACTAAAGCTGCCCACCGGTCAGCTACAGTTTCAGCAGTGCCATGTTAGAGATGGGAGAAAACAGATGAACTAATTAGTGAGTCAGGAAGCAGGCAGGCAAAAGTAACTTGTCATTTGTTCAGTGGGATAGAAAGTATGACTACAATTAGGATCAGAATTTTTGTTGCTAAGCAAGGTGGGATTCAGCTGGTTTGTACCATTTGTTAACTTTCTGAGCAGTTCAGTGAACCAGTTGTTGGAAGAAATCTGCTTCCAAAAGCCTTTTGTTTTTCCCACTTTAAAAGGCTAATTCTGACAGGAAGGAAACATTCTGTTTCTAGCTTAATACTGTTTATCTTTAAGTGTTTTCAGAAACTGCTTCTCTGGTTAAGCCTTGTTACATTGTAATAGCAGTTGGTCCTTGGCAGTATACCCAGACTAGCTGGAGCTGCTTCTCTGGAGGGACTTGACTTTTTTAAAGGGGAAGAGTTGTTTTACACTTTTTACACTGCTTTAGTGGCTCCGGGCACTGTCCTTTTGGGGTGTACTTCCAAGAGGCAGGATGCAAGCTTGGCACTGTCTGATTTTTTTTTTTACTGCCTTTCTGGGGGCATGTGACATTTCCTTAAATCTGGATGATTTCCTTAGGATATCTTGTGAGGTGAATGAGACTAGGTGGTATCTAAGTGGTACAAATGGATCTAAGAATTGCTTCTCTTGGGTGGGAAAGCGTGCTCTGTCAGTTCACTGAGCACAAGAGTCTTGTCTATGGGGATTCTTCAGTCATCCAGGTCATAGTTGTCCCAAAGATGTTTTTTTTCAAGAGGCAACTATACTTCCTTGGTTTCCAGAAAGTCCAGTTGCCTCTTGAAAAAGCACCTTTAGGACAGGAGTCTCTTGCACTGCTTCAGAGTGGCCAAGGCACATGATTGCTCACTGATAGTAATGTTTTTGTTTTTTTTAAAGGAGATAGGGGTGTGGATCCTCCAATTCATTTTAGTTTTCTCTATAAGACTTAGTAACATGGCACCAGGCTTGAAGTTTATTTAGATATCTGTGGCATGTACTAATTTTTACTGTGATACTGACAAACTTGGGTCCCCTTATATACTTTGGTAATTTGTTTCTTTATCTCAGCATTTGTAGCCCAAGTGTGCCCACCCACTTTCTGGAGAGCTTAAATGACCTCTCTGCTAAAGGATTTCACTTTATGAGCAAGAGTTGGCTGTTGATAATTGTCATTACATTTTAACTATTTTAATTCCTTAAGGTGCTCTGGCACCCTGCCTGATTTGTAACTCCAGCTTACAGATATTGCTGATGAAAAGGAAGGTATTCAGACAGAATGGTTTAGGTTTCCATGACAGTTGTGGCTATCATTGATCTTCAGGGTGTATTCCCCCATTTCTAATGATTGGTTTTTAGGGCAACTTTTTGCAAGCAAAAACGCTTTTGGTATTTTTATATAGGTAATTCTTGACTCACAACAGTTCATTTAGTGACCATTCAAAGTTAAAATAGCACTGAAAAAAGTGACTTATGACCATTTTTCACACTTACAATCATTGCAGCATCCCCACGGTCAGGAGAGGCCAGGCAAGGCGAAGTACCCCTTGATGTGAGTGGCACTGAGTTGGCCACACCCACCCAGTCATGTGACTACCCAGCCATGCCTACCAAGCTGGTCATTAGGTCAGAAAACCAATTGTTAAATTATTTGAATCCCACTACTGAAGCAAGGCAAGCATTAAGTGAGTCGTCACCACCTCCATTTTATGACCCATTTTGACATGGTTGTGAAGCAAACCACTGCAGTTAAGAGAATCACATGATTGTTAAGTGAATTTGGCTTCCCTCATACACTTTATCAGAAGCCAGATGGGAAGCTCACAAATGGTGATCACATGACTCAGAATGCTGCAACTGTCAGAGCACCTAAATTGCGAATAGGTAATTGTGTTGGGAGGCTCAATGGTTGCAAGTGTGAAAACCAGCTATAAGTTATTTTTATAGTGCTTAAAAGGAATGGTTGCAAACTGAAGACTATCCCAAAGGTGCTTTTTCAAAAGGCAACTGGACTTGTTTTTGCTTGAAGATGTTTCTTTCTTCAGAAGCTTCTTGGATGAGAAGTGTAACATCTTTAAGGAAAAATAAAATCCAATTGCCTTTTGAAAAAAGCACATGACCTGGATGATTGAGAATCTCCATAGACATTGAAAACCACCAATATATAGTAATTTTTGTAAAACTGGAAAAAATGTTTTCATGACCTAATATGATTTTGTTGCTGATAAACGTTGTACAGTTCTAAAGTCAAATGCAACCACTTATTTATGCATCACCTTTATTATATTTATACTGTACATAAGTCAAGGCAGTGAACATATCAAGGTGAGTTGGACTAAGAGAGAGTCACTCAGTTGGCTTTTATGCCTAAGGCTTTAGAAAAAGTTAGGATTGTGAGGTCTTGTCTTCTACTCCCAGAAGCGGTAAAGAACCCTTTAAAAAATACTAGGGGTAAAACATTATATAACCAATAAGCCATCTTAGCAATACATAGCCTTGAGGCATGATATTTTTTGACTGCTTAGCTAATGTTTAAGTACCATAGTATTTGGTTTTGTATTAATTTAGTTATGTTTTTAGCATATACAATTGTTATGTTTTATGATTGCAAGCCACCCAGAGTTACCCAGTGGTAAAATGGACAGCCAATATTTTTTATAAATAAATAATAATCTTTTCTGATGTTTCTCATTCAACTATTAACCAGGCTGTGGCCTACTTAATCACCAAGCTCAAATAAGGTCAGCCAAATGTTATTATTTGCTATGGCATGCAAATATCAGACTAAATTCAAAAGAAATATGTCAAGTAGGAAAAATAAATAAAACTTAGCTTAAATTTGATAAGTGTCTGGAGATTCTCAGCAAAGTTCCTTTTTCAAGAGAAACTGGACTTTATTTTGCTTTTTCCTTGAATACATTTCACTTCTCACCCAAAAGGCTTCTTCAGTTCAGTTCAGTTAAATTTGATAGTATTAAGCTAACCTATCACATTTAAATTTACACTTTGGTTACTTTTTTATGGTTTGTAGGGGCAGCCTACAACTAAGTTTTTAGGTGCAGCCCTGGGTTTGTCAATGCCAGGGGTCTGCAACCTCTGGCTCTTTCAGCCCTCTGTTGCAGCTCCTTGCCAGCTGATCCCACCACTGGCTGGCCCCATCCCTCCCCTCCCAGTAACTCCTCACCTGGTCTGAGAAGGTAAGGGTGACAGCGGGGGATGGAGACTTGCTCCATATACCAGAGTGGGAGCAAAGCACCCCTGTACTTGCCTTTGCGCAGCAACAGCATTCCATCTTCGTCGCAGTACATTTGCTCTCAACGCAGCCCTCGGCTCCACCCGCTCGCCATTTGCTCTCCCTTAGGTGCGATGCGTTGCCTGTTTTCCCCTCCTTCAGAGGCCTTGGCCTGGCCCTTAATCTCTTCGCTTCCTCCCCTACAACCTCCTCTTTTATCGTTTGTGGCCGCAACCTTACCTTCCTCCAGTGGCTGGCTGCTAGGGAAGGCAAGCCAGGGCTGAGAGCCACTGGGCTCCCCACCAGCCCGCATCCCGCCCCCCACTTGTCGTGAGATGCCTGCAGCCACTGCCTCTCTTTTTTGGTGGAAGAAGTCTCCCAGCTGATGCCTCTTTGCTAGCCGGAATCGAGACACGCTGTCTCCTATCAGAAAGTCCCAGAACCTCACATGTGCACACGTGAGCTGGGACTTTCTGCGAGGAGAAGGCACGTGGGCAAGTCCCTCTGGTGCAGCAGGCTCAATGGAGTGGACCTGTGTGCCAGCACCTCTGTTCCCCTTGCTCTCTTCCAGGTTCTGGTGCGCCGGCCAGCCTGCCAGCAAACGCTGCTCTTGCCCTGCCCGCTGCTCCTGCCACCATTGCAGATGAGAGGGCAGCAGTAGTTCACACGTGCAGCCCTGCCTCTCTAAAAGAGCAGCAGCGAGAGACAGGCAAGAACTGCTGTTGCCTTTTCGCTCCCAGTAGTGGTAGGAGCAGCTGGTGGGGCAGCGTTTGCTGGCAGGGCGTCAATTGCCCCATGTCCAAGCTAGCCAGTATGTCAGAACTTGGAAGAGCAAGGGGAGCAGAGCTGCCAGCCAGAACAGGTGGGCCAGGGCTTTCCTTCCTCCCCACCCAAGCAGGCTTCTTACTGCTCTTCTGGGGAGACAGGGCTGTGCTGAAGCTGACTCCATGCAGGAGGAACGCTTGTCCGACGCCACGGTAAGAGGTGCTCCAGAAAGGAGGGTGGGGACTCCCAGGGCTGCCTCCCGCAGCAATGCTGCTGCCCCCGCCACCTAGCCACTCAATTTCTGCCTTCTCACACCATCCCAGTCAAACCAGGTGTGTGTGTGTGTGTGTGTGTGTGTGTGTGTGTTAGAGAGAGAGAGAGAGAGAGAGAAAGAGAGAGAGAGAGAGAAAGAGAGAAAGGAAGGGCAAGAAACAAAAGAGGGAGAGAAAGAGAGAGAGAGAGAGAGAGAGAGAGAAAGAAAGAAAGAGAGAAAGAAAGAAAAAGAAAGAAAGAAAGAAAGAAAGAAAGAAAGAAAGAAAGAAAGAAGAAATAGGAAGAAAAGAGGAAGAGGAAGGGAGAGAAAGAAAAAGAAAGAAAGAGCAAGTAATTTCAACCCATGATTTATGTTGCATCATGTTATATAAACCAAGCCAACTTAAATTTAGCCAATTTTAGCCAAGCAATTCCAGAAATATAACTATTTGTTTGCTTTTGTGTTTATAGCAGTTCACCTGGTGATACATATGTGGCACTGCTGGGCGCCCATCAGCTCCGCAATCTCTCAACTGATGTAGTATTTGTGATGGTGAAAAAAATTATCCTCCACCCAGACTTTAATGGGAAAGCCGCCTCTCTTGGAGATATTGCTTTAATTCAATTGGAAACACCAGTGGATTTCACTAACTCCATTATGCCCATCTGTTTGCCGACATCCTCTGAAAATTTCTCTACAGAAACAGATTGTTGGGTCACTGGATGGGGAACAATTAAATATGAAGGTGAGACATATAAAAGGAATCTACAGTCTGATTAGCAAAATATTTCCTTAGAATAAGTCATTAAAATGTGAAAAGAAAAAAAAAACATAATATGGAACAGAAGCAGAGGTGGTATTCAGCAGGTTCTTACCAGTTCTGGGGAACCAGTAGCGGAAATTTTGAGTAGTTCAGAGAACCGGTAAATACTACCTCTGACTGGAGATTTTACACTATCCTTACCCTGCCATGCCCACCAAGCCACACCCACAGAACTGGTAGTAAAAAATTTGAATCCCACCACTGAACAGAAGTATATTCTTCCTTTCCTTCTAATTCTTTTTCATTTTGATCATGGATTAATTTCTTTAGGCTATCATTGCTGTTAGTTAATCTCCCAGGTGTGAATTGGTAGTTCATAGATGTCCTAAGATGAAACTCAGACAAAATATTTTACTTGTATAAGCTGGAATTTGACTGAGTTACTAGAACAAGAATGTTAAACAAATTGGATACTTTATGCACTTTTGTTGTTTTGTGAAAAATGGCACTTTGTGGCCACATATTTGTGGTACAACCACTGACATCCAGATCAAAGCTGTAGCTTCTGTATGGTGGCATCATAATTCATGTGTCACCATTACATATTTACATCCTAATTTGTTACATAAGTAATTTATGGGTATTATCTCTTCACGTTATGAGGTACAATCCTGGGAAAGGTACAATACAGAGATGGTATTCAGCAGGTTCTGACAAGTTCTGGAGAACCGGTAGTGGAAATTTTGAGGAGTTCAGAGAACCGGCAAATACCACCTTTGACTGGAGGTTTTACAGTATCCTTCCCCTGTCACACCCACCAGGCCATGCCCACAGAACCGGTAGTAAAAAAAAATTGAATCCCACCACTGGTACAGTAACCAAAATAGTAAGTCACAATTCACAATAGTAAGTCACTATATTGAGTAGGTTTGCCCACAGCATTAAACCAGAACTTAATAAAGATCTTGATGGAGTAAAACAGTCAGAACCCAATCATTACATGCTTGGGCTCTCAAAAATGCAATGCATATTTCTTTACCATAAGCTGCTGAGCAAATGTAGCCCTGTATTTATTTACATGGTATATCCATTGCTAAAATGATACATATCTAATTGGAATGATTCCAGACTGCTTTTTTGTTCACTACTGTAACGCCTTCCTCTCTCCCACAGTCCCCTTGCCATTTCCACTAACCCTCCAGGAAGTGCAAGTGTCTCTCATAAACCAAAACATCTGCAGCCAGATCTACAACAGCTTTCCAGTTTTGGGCAAGGATGCTATCAAGGATGATATGATTTGTGCAGGTTATCCAAACAGTGGAAAAGATTCCTGCCAGGTAAGATGTTCCATATGTTTTTTTTTTTAAATTTCTTACATCCAGGGGGTTAAATTCAATTACCTCTTTTCTTCTGTAACATGAGGATGTATGGAAAACATATTATCATGGCGTTATAGTTATACTTTTTATGATGATTTGAGCTTAGTCAGTAACACTATGAATGATAGACACTACTGAGAGATCATTTTTTTCTGTATGATGCCTGCCCCTTTCTCATTGAGATATCTGAGATGGATCACTGACCATTATTGTGGGTTTCTCTTTTTAGTGAATTGGGGCTGAGCATTCTCTGTTAGCACCCAAGTGTTGTTTGTGTTGTTAAAGTGAAGGTCCTGACATCTTTGCCCACTTTTCAAAAAGTCCTAAAAGCATCCTTCATAAAGCACCTTTATTCAAATCAGATTTTCATCTATTGGCTGCATTAACAGTCTTTCCTAATAGATTGCTTTGATCTGTATAGGTGTTCAGCTCAGTGTTCAATAGTTGATTTTAGTTGCCTCTTTACTTCTTGGATAAAGGGTGACTTAGCTCCAACTGGGCTATTGTCATTCATATAACATGACAATAATGGGTCAAAGCAAGATAAGGACACTATAAACTAATTGTTCTCTAATGGCTTCTCATCTGAGTAGCTATCCATAATAATTAAGAGCTGAGTAGGCAAAAGCAATCATCAAGCAGCAGACTGGAGCTAAAGAGCTTTTCAGAGACTTTCACAAATTATTTCTGGCAGTTTAGCTATTCTCACTGACTAATCTCAATTATTGATACAGATTTTCCAAAATTAAATTCAGCATTCCTTCTCTCAAATGTTTTGCCCATCCAAAAATTGACTCGGGTTACAGATATTTTCTTTCACAGCTACAAGGATGGACTGCATTCTTGTATATCCAACTGGATTGATGTAATGTGTTATTTAAGTTTTTTAGAGTCTCCATAAATTGGTTTCTTATTATTTTATTTCTGATACTGCTATCATTTTATCAGTACTTTAACTATGTATGTTTACTTGTATTCCAGTCTAAGATTGTTACAAAGAATTTGCTCATTCAATTGTTTTTATTTTATTTTATTTTTGGGGGAGGAACGAAAGAGAAAGTAACAATAAAACCAATGATAGAACAGTGCAACTTTACAGATTATAATACAATTTATGAATTATTTTGATAGTCTGTTTCTCATAGAATTCCATGTATGGAATTGTATTTTATTTATTTGTTTAATTATATTTTGCCTTTATTCTGTTTTTTTCTTTTTTTAAATAACTCAAGGAAGCAAATATATCCAATCTTCCTCCTTCCTCCTATTTTCCCCACAATAACAACTATATGAGATGGGTTGGGCTGAGATACAGCGATAGGCCAAGGATCATCCAGCTTGTTTTTCATGACTAAGGTGAAACTAGAACTTACACATTCCTGATTTCTGGCCTGGTTCTTTAACCCACTAGAACAAACTGGCTGTCTATGCCCATGTACTGTTACTAGAAATTGACAAGAGCCCTCAGCAATCGAAATTACAATAACTTTAAATAAAATAAACTTAAAGGGTTTTCCCCAATATTGCAGATACAGGTAGTCCTTGCTTAGCAATTGCAATTGGTACCAACAATTCCATTGTTAACTGAAGCAGTCACTAAACGAAAATCATGTGATCTTGATTGTCCTTTCAATTTTGCACAGGACAAAAGCAATCTAACTAATTGTAATGGCAAATGTATGACTGAGACAGAACTGCTGCCAAGGTGGGGCGTTAGTCCCACCGTTACTTTTTCCTCATCCATGTAACTGCAAATGGTTGCTAAATGAGGCAATTACTAAATGAGGATTAATTGTAATGGCTAAAATTAATGAGAATGTGATAAGCCGGGGAGATAAGTGACTGAGAATGTGAATGAACTCGGATCTCGTTTCAGCTCATTCACATACATACCAATGTCCCTCCTTCTTGGTTTATATCTTTCTTCCATAGGGTGACTCTGGAGGCCCCTTGACTTGCCAACTTCAAGGAAGGTGGACTCAGGCTGGGATTGTGAGCTGGGGAATTGGATGTGCCAGTACAACATTCCCTGGTGTCTACACTTCAGTACCTTACTATTCTGACTGGATCAAATATGTAATGGAGGAGAACATGAGCAACAAATCCAACTCCAGCAATATACCCACTCAAACTATATCCACACCAGGAGTGTCCTCTCAAACTATATCCACACCAGGAGTGTCCTCTCAAAATATATCCACACCAGGAGTGTCCTCTCAAAATATATCCACACCAGGAGTGTCCTCTCAAAATGTTACCAATCTAGTAATAACCACTCAAACTGTATCTGATCCAGTAGTATCCACTCAAAATGGGTCCAACTTACTAGTACCCATGCTAGTTGTGCTTTTATTGTCCATTGGACTGGCTGTTATTTGATATCTCTTTGCATTCAGTTTATCAATTAACAGAATTTCCCAACCTTAGAAACTTTTATGTATATGTATATGTTAAAAATATTTATATCATGGATCTAGAAAAACAAACATGTGCAAAACACTTCCCTTTTTACTATGCTTGCCAGTGAAAAGCAAAATCGATTCATGGAAGAAAAACCAATTATTGAGTTTAAAATCACTACAAAGTAAAAAATACTTTTTGCTGCTCTAATAAAGTTGCTTTATACACATTTTTTTCAAAATTCTTTTTTTTATAATTTAAAGTTTTGAGAATTTTTATACCAACGTTTCTCTATATGTTTTATTTTTCTCTATGTTTCTTTATACAAATTCCTTGTGTGTCTAATCACACTTGTCCAAATAAAATATTCAGTTCAATTCAAATTTTATAGTATACCACATTCTTAATTGTATTGTAAGAAAACAAAAATGTGTCTCTTTAAATTAACAAAGAATATTTTAAAAATTATATCCCACTGCATGTAAATAACTACAGTATGTCTATGCAAATCCTTTGGGTAACATATTTTGGACTATGGATAAACTTCTTTTTCTATTATTCCAATTATTAACAGCCATGGTGGCGCAGTGGTTAGTGTTACGACCAGCAAGTCCTCACTCCAGTCCACTGTTTAAGCGGGAGCTGGGAAAGTCCCTGATTGGCTGGACCATTTGACAGCTCCGGTATAAAAGAAGCTGTCAAACAGAATCAGCTGTCTCTCTCTCTCAGCTGCTGCTGCGAGCCGCGGCTAGCCACAGCTGAGTTACAAGTTAACAATAAAGCCTGTTAGAGCTTTATACTGCCTCCGCCTCTTCTTCTAAGCACGCCAAATATAAAACTGGCAACAAGGATGGGATGCTGATGAACTGAGGCAATTCCTGAGGCAAAAGAGAGAGCACCACACGGCTGAAGTCACTTCAAAAAGAGTTGTCACTAGAGCAGTCACTATTGAATGAAGAAATGGCGGCGGCGCCAAATTTTCCACCTTTTCGGCCAACCTCCAAGACGTGGACATCATACATCAATAGGTTTGAATGCATCATGGATGCCACGAACCTTTCTGACATCCCTCCTAACAGGAAGAAAGCATATTTCCTAAGTTTCTGCAGGGCCACCGTTTTTGACACTGCCACCGCGCTGCTGTCTCCTCAGATGGTCAAGGCTGTCCCCTGGGAAGAACTACAAGAGGTTCTCAGTAACCACTATGCCCCAAAACCATCGCGTATTGCCCGCCGCCATGCATTCAGGAGAAGAAGCCAAGCAGAAGGAGAGTCTGTAAGTGAATACATGGCGGCTCTTCGTTCAGCCGCCCTGCAATGTGGTTTCCAAGATCATCTAGACGATATGCTGCTGGACCAGCTCATCTGTGGGGTGAGAGACCTTCAACTTCAACGACAGCTGCTGGCTAAAGGTGACCTCACCTTGAAGCAAGCCATCGAAGAAGCCCAAGCCACTTAAATTATCCGCGGCCAAAATACAAAAACCAAGCAGTCTCCCCGGGGTAAAACCCAGCACTGCGGTCCACTACGAAGATACCTACGGTGAAGAGGATGACTTCGAAGAGGAAGAAGCAATCAATCTCCTCCAAGCACCTCAGCCGACGCAGAGAAAAAGTTTTCCTGCTGACAAGAAACAACTTACACCACAGCTGATTTGCCTCAGCTGTGGAGGAAGCCATCTGAGAGCCACTTGCCGTTTCCGAAACGCTGTCTGCCTAAAGTGCCAGAGGAAAGGCCACATAGCTAGAATCTGCCAGGCACCTAAAATCACAATCCTGCCATCTCAACATCTCAAACAACCTAGAAACCTCAAATCCAAAGAGGAATGCTATGCCATCAACAAAGCATTCCCAAGAGCTGAGTCACCAACTTATTCTTTTAATGTTAATAAAATTAATGTTGATCTTCTCTTAGAAGGCAACCCCTGTCAGATGGAGGTAGACACTGGATCATCTCTATCTCTCATCTCATGGAAGACTCTACAGAACCTGCTACCAGACTTCCACAAGGATCAGCTGAGCCCCTGCAATCTGACACTGAAAGACTACCAAGGACAATCCATTCCTGTCCTCGGAACAGGCAAGTTCCATATTCAATACAACAATTTTCAGGGTCACCTTCCACAAGTTATCATAACTGGGGACTTACCTAGCTTACTGGGATTGGATTGGTTCCATTCCTCGGGTCTCCAAGTAACTGGAGTACATGCTGTTACCCCCCACAACATGCAGTAACTTCTTGCTGACTATTCAGAAGTTTTCTATGATAAACTGGGGTGCTACAATGACACTCCTATTTCTCTTAACTTGGATCCTAATGTTGCGCCTATACACCTCAAACCTCGCAGAGTGCCATTGGCATTACATGCTAAGGTGGATGCCCAGTTTGACAAATTTGATTTCGCAAGGGGTTTTGGAACCAACTGACTTTTCTACATGGGAAACTCCCATTGTAATACCTTTAAAAAAAGATGGCTCCATAAGAATCTGTTCGGACTACAAGTCCACAAGAAACAAGGGTCTCCAACCAAACGCTTATTCTGTCCCTATCATACCGCACCTGCTCCATTCCCTGGGAAAAAGCTCCATTTTTACCAAGCTGGATATGATTCAAGTATACCAGCAATTCCTAGTGGACAATGAGATTGCTGAGGCCCAAACAATCATTATGCATAGAGGCGCTTTCAAATGTAAGCGTTTACAATTCGGTGTCAGCGTAGCCCCTGGCATATTCCAATCCATTATGGAACGTTTGTTATACAATATCCAGGGTGTCATTCCATATTTCGATGACATCCTCATTGCTGCTGACAACCCACAGGACCATTTGCACAGATTACAAAAAGTTCTCCAGTGTTTTAAACAGGCTGGGCTAAAATTGAACAGGAAAAAAATGCATCTTCGCAGTTTCACAGATAGATTTCTTTGGATATCATATTGACCACAAGGGAATTCATCCTATAGAATCCAAAGTATGGGCCACCCAGGAGGCCTCAATTCCTCAGAACAAGACTGAGTTGCAAGCCTTTTAGAGACTGAAAAAATGTTAGAAAGCAATATAACAATGATGGAATTAACTGAAGCACTTAAGAAGCAAAATAATGGAAAGGCACCAGGTCCAGATGGGCTTCCGGCAGAATTTTATAAAACATTACAAGAACCGCTGAGTCTTCCACTGCTAGAAGTCATGAATGAAGTTATGTTAAAGAAGACGATACCTAAAACATGGTCAGAAGCCTATATTACACTTATTCCAAAAGAAGAGGCTGATCCACTGCAAATTAAGAACTATAGACCTATTTCTTTACTAAATGCAGACTATAAAATTTTTGCTTCAATTTTGGCAGAAAGACTTAAAAAATACTTAAATAACTTTATTCATCCTGACCAAAATGGATTTCTGCCAAAGAGACAAATTAAAGATAATATGAGAGTAATTTTGGATACTTTGGAATATTATGAGGTACACCCTGAAAAACAAATGGCATTGATATTTTTAGACGCACAAAAGGCATTTGATAATGTGAATTGGAGATTTATGTTATAATTATTGGAACAGATGGGTTTTGCCAGAAAATTCATTCAAGCAATAGAAGCCATATACCATAAGCAAACGGCAAAGGTAATGATAGAGGGAGAATTGACAGATCCCATCAATATAAGAAAAGGTACAAGACAAGGATGCCCACTATCACCTTTGTTATTTGTATTAACTTTGGAAGTGTTGAATAGAAATATTAGAGACGATAAGAGTATAAAAGGAATGAAAATTAAAAAAGAAGAATTTAAATTGCAAGCCTTTGCGGATGATTTGGCTTTCATATTAGAAGATCCTTTAGAAACAGCACCAAAATTATTGGAAAAGATAGAGGCATATGGTAAGGTGGCTGGTTTGAAAATAAATAAAGATAAAACAAAGATCTTGACAAAGAATATGCTACTAAGACAAAAAGAAGAACTGGCAGACCTATTGAAAATTCAAGTCACGAACAAGGTCAAGTATTTGGGGATACATTTGACAGCAAGATGTAGTACATTAAAAGAGAACAATTACATTAAACTTAAACTACAGATAGCGTTAGATTTGACGAAATGGGAAAATCTACAATTGTCATTAGTAGGGAGAATTTCAACAATCAAGATGAATATCCTGCCCAGAATTTTATACCTGTTTCAAACAATACCAATTAGGCTTGGAAAGGACTATTTTGAAGATTTAAATAAAATTGTCTTGAAATATATATGGCAAGGTAAGAAAGCGAGAATAAAGTTAAAACTTTTGCAAGACGCTAGAATTAGAGGAGGATTTGGTTTGCCTAACTGGGAGTTGCACTACCAAGCTACAAACTTGATTTGGGCTAAGGAACAGATAACATTAAGAAATACTAGATTGTTGACATTAGAAGGACATGATTTGCTGTTGGGGTGGCATGCTTTTCTATGGTATAAGGGAACTAAAACACAGGGCTATTTTAGAAGACATCATATACGGGAGTCTCTATGGTTAAATTGGGAGAAGATTAAAAGACAATGTTATTTGAAAATTCCAGTCTGGTTATCGACTATTGAAGCATTTTCCTATCCTATAATATATAAGAAGGAACAAACAGTTAGATATGGGGAAATATTGGATGAAAAGGGTGAACTTAAATCGATGCAAAATCTAGAGGAACAAGGTATAAAGATGAATTGGTTTTCATATGCGCAAATACATTCAAGGTATGATGAAGATCTCAAAACAGAAGGATTTTATGACAAATTGACTGACTTAGATAAGATTTTGACAGGTACTGATGAAAAGGTGATTTAAAAATTGTATGGTTATTTATTGGAATCTAAACTAGAGGAAGAACAAGTTAAAGAAACTATAATTGCTTGGGGGAAGAATTTTGGATATGGGATTGATTTACAGAAATGGCAAAAATTGTGGTCTCAAAATTATAAAATGACAATGTCAACAGCATATAAAGAAAAATTTGTA